CTTCTCCAGGGAGTCCTTCCTTCTCATTAGGTGGCCAAAGTATTTGAGTTTCATCTTCAGGATCTGGCCTTCTAAAGAGCAGTCAGGGTTGATCTCCTCTAGGACTGACCAGTTTGATCGCCTTGCTGTCCAAGGGACTTGCAGGAGTCTCCTCCAGGACCACAATTCAAACGCATCAATTCTTCGGTGCTCAGCCTTCCTTATGGTCCAGCTTTCACAGTCATACACTGCAACTGGGAAAACCATAGCCTTGACTATACGCACTTTTGTTGGCAGGGTGATGTCTCTGCTTTTTAGTATGCTGTCTAGATTTGCCATAGCTCTCCTCCCTAGGAGCGTCTTTTAATTTCCTGGCTGCAGTCCCTGTCTGCGATGATCTTGGAGCCCAGGAAAATAAAATCTGTCACTACCTCTATTTCTTCCCCATCTATTTGCCAGGAAGTGAGAGGACCGGATGCCATGATCTTAGTTTTCTTAATGCTGAGTTTCAAGCCAACTTTTGCACTCTCCTCCTTCACCCGCATCAAGAGGCTCTTTAGTTCCTCTTCACTTTCTGCCATGAGAGTTGTATCATCTGCATATCTGAGGTTGTTGCTATTTCTCCCGGCAATCTTAATTCCAACTGGTGATTCATCTAGCCTCGCCTTTCTCATGATGTGCTCTGCATATAAGTTAAATAGGCAGGGCAACAGTATACAGCCAAACTCCTTTCTCAATTTTGAACCAATCAGTGGTTCCATGTCCAGTTCTCACTGTTGCTTCTTGACCTTCATATAGGTTTCTCAAGAGACAAATAAGATGGTCTGGTACTCCCATCTCCTTAAGAACTTGCCACAATTTGTTGTGATCCACACAATCAAAGGCTTTAGCATAGTCAATGAAGCAGAAGTAGATGTTTTTCTGGAACTCCCTAACTTTCTCCATGATCCAGCATATGTTGGGAATTTGATCTCTAGTTCCTCTCCCTCTTCAAAATCCTGCCTGTACTTCTGGTAGTTCTTGGTCCACATACTGCTGGAGCCAAGCTTGTAGGATTTTGAGCATAACTTTGCTAGCATGTGAAATGAGTGCAATGGTGCGGTAGTTTGAACATTCTTTGGCATTGCCCTTCTTTGGGATGGGAATGTAACCTGACCTTTTCCAATCCTGTGGCCACTGTCAAATTTTCCAAGTTTGCTGGCATATTGAGTGTAGCACTTTTACTGCATCGTCTTTTAAGATTTTGAATAGCTCAGCTGGAATACTGTCCACTATACTCCACTAGCTTATTGTTGCTCAGACTTCCTAAGGCCCATTTGACTTCACATTCCAGGATGTCTGGCTCGAGATCAGTGACCACCCCATCGTGGTTATCAGGGACGTTAAGCTCTTTCTTGTATAGTTCCTTTGTGTAATCTTGCCACCTCTTCTTAATCTCTTCTGCCTCTGTTAGGTCCCTGCCATTTTGGTCCTTTATCATGCCCATCTTTGCATGAAACATTCCCTTCATATCTCCAATTTTCTTGAAGAGATCTCTGGTCTTCCCTATTCTATTGTTTTCTTCTATTTTTTGCACTGTTCATTTAAGAAGGCATTCTTATCTCTTCTAGCTATTCACTGGAATTCTGCATTCAATTGGGTGTATCTTTCTCTTTCTCCCTTGCCTTTCGCTTCCCTTCTTTCCTCAGCTATTTGTAAAGCTTCCTCAGATAGTCATTTTGCTTTCTTGCATTTCTTTTTCTTTGGGATGGTTTTAGTTGCTACCTCTTGTACAATGTTGCGAACCTCTGTCCATAGTTCTTCAGGCACTCTCTCTATCAGATCTAATTCCTTAAATCTATTTGTCACCTCTACTGTATATTCATCAGGGATATGATTTAGGTCATACCTGAGCAGCCTAGTGCTTTTCCCTACTTTCTTCAATTTAAGCCTAAATTTTGCAACCAGAAGCTCATGATCTAAGCCACACTCAGCTCCTGGTCTAGTTTTTACTGACTGTATAGAGCTTCTCCATCTTTGGCTGC